GTTCGTTCAAGAATACTTCCATCTTAGTAAAGGACTACTCAGTAGTCATTGAAAATATATTTAAGGTGTAACGCTTGCATACATCTAAATAATTTCTCATCAAACCTCCAATTGATGATCATTGTTATGGTTTTTATAACATTTAGTCTAGTCATAATAAAATTATACACCAACAACTAATAATCAAGTAGATATAAGGGGAAGGGCATGAGATGCAGCAACTTTTATCAAGATATTATTAATTGAGACAATTCTAAGTGGAATCCACATGATTATGTTTTTTCTAACGCGTAAATCACAAAAGATGGTTTAAGGAGAGTGTGAATATTGCTGGAAGTAAAAAAAAAAAAAAAAAAAAAGTTGAGTTACTAATGAAAATAAATAACTCACTTTTAATTCCCTCTATTTCCAATCATTCATTAGAGTTCTTGAGGATTCAAAAAAAAAAAAAAAAAATTCCCGAAATTAATTCGTTCAAGAAATTAGATACTACCATCCTAGTTAAAGTACTAGTAATCATTGAATATATATATTAGGTGTAAAGATTTGCATGCATCTAATTAATTTCTCATCAAACCCCAAATCAAAGATCATTGCTATGATTTTTATAACATCTACTTTAGTTAAATAATAAAATGATACACCATCAATTAATAATCAAGTAGATCCAAGGGCATGTAGATGCATCATTGCAGCAACTTTTACCAAGCTATTCATTCAATCATTCGAAATTCCATTGTTGTTCACAGATCATATCCTAAATTTAGGTGAGAAACTTCTAGACCAAAGCAGATAGTATCTCAAACCCCACAAAATCCCAAAATCAACGAAAAATTAGCCGAAAATCCGTGCTTAAGAACACATAAAAATGCAGATAATTGACAAACATAGCATAATCAAAGCAGATAATTCATCAATTACCAGAAAAAAAAATGCAAAAACCTAGAAAAATTATATAAAGAAGCATAAACCCAGAAATAATTTACAATTACAAAATAAGCTAAAAACAGAGAAATAGCAAAATTCAGACTAAAAAACAATAAAAATAAAGGGAAGAAATGAAAAAAAAATTGGTTGAAATAACCTGAATATGCTGGTAGAGGAAGGCCAGTAGTGTGTGGGGAAGGAAGGGGCGCCATTACAGAGTAAATTTGCGACAGTGAAGCATAGCAAGCTACCAGTGCAAGTGCCCAACAGTTAGGACAACTTATAAATTTGAAACACAAATATTTTTTTTTTTGGAAAAATTGATTCTAAGAATCTCATTCGCTATTAATAATTCCGTCTTTTGATTATTATTTAATAATCCCATTTCTATAGGTGATTTTCTTCTATTGGTCCCTAAATTATTGATATCCGATTTTGATAAGTGAATATGCTACGTGCCACTTTGTAGTTTGTAATGGGTAGAAAATTTTAAATTATAAAAAAGAAAAAAATACAAAAGAAAAAATAATAATAATAATAATAATAATAATAATAATTAAATGTCTAATGTATAAAGTATTAGCATTAAATTAAATTTGAAAATTGAAAAATTTGTATTGGAATTGGGTAAATATTTTTATTGTAAATATGATTAGTTGCATCGATAATATGCAAATATATTAATAAGTCGGGATAATTGGATGAAAAGTATATACTACCTCCGTTACATTTTATTTGCAACGGTTAGACATTTTCCCTCTCTACTTTATATCAAATCGTTGCAAATAATATGTAACGGATGTAGTATATATAAGAGAAATGTTTTTTTTAAATAAAAAATTTGCAAATTGCGGCCATTTAAATTTTTTTTTTTTTTTTTGCAAATTGCAGCCCAAAAGTTCGTATAAATTGTAAATTGCAGCCCAATTCAACTTTTTCATCGGTTAACATGTCAAAAAATCTTCGTTTATGGTTTTAGGGGTCATTTTATATCTTAAGGATCCGAATTGAGCTCGGAATTAGCAAAAAAATAATGTAAGTGTCTCATTTTTACAGTTTCCCACAAATCGATATATTTTTTACGCAAAACGAGGCACTTATGTTATTTTTTTTGCTAATTTTGAGCTCAATTTGGACTCTTAAGGTCTAAAATGGCCCCTAAAACCGTAACCGAAGATTTTTTGACATGTAAATCGATGTAAAAGTTGAATTGGGCTGCAATTTACAATTTATACGAACTTTTGGGCTGCAATTTGCAAAAAAAAAAAAAATTAAATGGCTGCAATTTGCAAAATATGATCTTTAAATGGCTGCAATTTGCAAATTTTCCAAAAAAAAAAAGAAATAATTGAAAAGTTTAACAAAATACTTAGATATTGCATTTCCATCCCTTTTTTTTACATGTGATCAAGAGTTTGAAATTATATGATAGCAAATTTTTTTGGGTGTTCCACCCTTTGGGCTAATTCAAAGTCAGGGCTCATTTTTGAATGGTTAGGCTCTATTCCCCTCTCAATTGTTGTTTCAGGAGATCGAACACGCAATGCTCCCAAGTGCAATCTCAATCACCACTACACCAATAACCAATTGGTATGCTATAGCAATTTATCATGATGCATAAAATTTCTCAACCACAATTTGAAATTATGTGATATCAATTTATAATATTCTTTGATAAACGGGTATGGGCCACACCCGATACAACTGTCCACTTTATACGACCAAGAAGGTTCCACCTCAAAACCATATGACAATTAGGGGAGTGACCCTTTAGCCTTATAAAGTGGACACATCTTTCTTATTTCTTCAATGTGGGATACACTTCCCAATACAAACTCTTACTTATAAACTAAACCAATGTGGGATAATACATCACTCACATGCGGGTTTTCTCATGGGCTTAACACTCCCCCTCACATGTGAGTTGTCCATAATATTGGCCTAGATCACAACACAACTTCACCTGGCTCTAAAACCATGATAAACGGGTCTAGGCCACACCCGATACAACTGTCCACTTTATACGACCAAGGAGGTTCCACCTCAAAACCATATGGCAATGAGGGGAGTGGCCCCTTAGCCTTATGTTGCCCTTGATGTTTTGATGATAACACAAGTCAAATAAGTGGGCTAATGATTTCTGTGATTCTTGTGGTTTATTTATAAGTTGCAGGAAACACTCAAGGCAAAGGAACACGAGGAGCTAAAAATAAAAGAGATCAGTTGCAGAGTTCCTATGAAGGAACTAAAGCTTCGGAGCAGAAGCTAAGGAAAGAAGACTCGGAGCAGAGACTTCTTAGAGAAAATAAAGTCTGAAATATTTTCTATTTTAGGTTTTATGTAAGTGAAAATTAATTAGGGATTAATGCTTAGTGGAATGCGTTTAAAAAGATAAGTATTATTGGCTTGCTAAAAAATAGGATAGTTTGTTTGGAAAAATATCTTTTCTGATTTTATCTTTTAAAGTTGATATTTTTATTTTCAGAAAAATATCTTTGAAAAGCTAACTCCCTAAACTTGCGCAACTGATTGTTGATTCAATCTTCACCACTTACGAATACACTGCTTCCTTGAGGCTCAACGTGCCCTGGTTTTTAGGACATGATTGAAATATTTGGAAGTGGTAGAGAGTAGTGGCGTTGATATGCAGCAGTGGTGGCGTAAGTAGTGGGAGGTGTGGAGTTTTCACCAAGCAATGTTTTCTTATAAATATCGAAGTTATTTTCTGGATAACTTCACCTTGCTCAAATACTTTTATCTTTCTTTCTTGTTTTCAAAAGATTCAAGAGTCGCATTCCACTTAAGTGTTTTTCTTAATTACTTTCACTAGAGTTTTATATTTGAGTTGTATTTTGGGAATTGGGAGTTTGAGTGAAATCTAAGAGAATTCAGTAAAGAAAGAGAGAGAAGAGAATAGAGAAGAGAAGAGTGGCAAGTAGTGGGACTTGTTGCTGGGAACTTCAAGTTCATAGAGGAACTTGAAGATTGATTCTGTAGTTAGTAATAGGTTGTTTGCCCTGTTATAGTGAAGAATCTTTCCTAAAATCCCAAGTGGTCGTGGTTTTTCCTCTTGTTAGGGCTAAGAGGCTTTCCACGTAAAATCTCTCTGTGTTTACTTTGAGTTCCTGTAGCTTAGTTATTTCAATTCCACAAAAAGTTAGCTCAATTCTCACCATCTACAATTCACCCCCCCTCTTGTAATATTCTTCTAAAGTAACACCTTATAAAGTGGACGCGTCTTTCTTATTTCTTCAATGTGGAATACACTTCCCAATACAAACTCTTACTAAATCGACCTTTGCCTCATTGACCCAAAATAATTCCACCTTTTAATTATTTATTATAACGGTATAATATGAATTGTTCAAATTCCGAACCCCCCTAATGGTATAGTATGAATTGTTCAAATCTTGAACTGGTAGTTCATGATTTCTCCTTACTTTCATTGCAAAATAAAATATAATTATACAACAACTTTTAATTTGCGTTCGACTGGCCATACTATGTGGCCACCTAGCTAACACTTGAATAACCTCTCGAATAACCCTTGGCTGAGGAACTCGAGTAAACCCTGACCGATTAACTCAAGTAACCCTTGATCGAACCCCTTAAGTTACCCTTGGCTAAATAACCCCATACCAAACCCCTTAAGTAACGCCTGACTGAGTAACCCCTGACCGAACCCCTCAAATAACCCCTGACTAAGTAACTTGAGTAATTCCTAACTGAATAACTCGGTAACTCCGTCTACACAGGGTGACCAGCAACATATAAAAATTTGTAATAATCACTAGTGGAAAAAATCTTATTCGTAACAGGCTATTTGTAACAGGCAAAGCTTTGCCCGTTACAATTAAGATATTCGTAACAGGCAAAATAGTTCCGTTATGAATACTTATTTATTCGTAACAGGCAAAATAGTGTCCGTTACGAATACGTATGTATTTGTAACGGATAAATTAGTGTCTGTTACGAATAAATAAGTATTCGTAACGGACACTATTTTGCCCATTACGAATACTATATTACACGTAACAGGCGTATTGTGACCGATACAAATGCCCAAACTTGGCCAACTGATGAGAGCTTTTTAGGGTTTCACCTAAAGCCATCATTCACCTCTTTCTCTCTCATCAGTCCCTTAATCCCTCTCTCTCTCCTCTCCTCGTTCTCCTCCTCGTCATTCACCTCTTTCTCTCATTTCAAACTCAAGCCCTTTCTCCTCTTCTTGAATTGATTTCTGGGCATTTTAGATAGTGAGGTAAGAAGTCCTTCAATTGTTTTTTCCTCTTCTTGAATTGATTTCTGGGCATCTAATTGTTTAAGTTATTGAATTTGTTCTTGTGAATTCTAATTTGCTTTATTTTTTTCTACACGCAATTTTTATTTGATTCATTTTTGACATTTATATGGTTCGATTATCCTTTGTATATATGTCTAAACGAATAATAAATCTAAAAAAAAATGTTCTTCAATTGAACTAGTAATACATGCAATCAGTAATGTATTTAGTTTATCTTTGTCTATTAATACCTGATTGCTGAATTTTTTTGTAATTATTTTTGTTTATAGAGAGAATTAAGAAACCTGATATGGCATATTGATTAATTCTAGGATTCTTCAGCTCTTTTTACCGAAATCGATCAATTTATCCCCAATTCGTTCATTTTTATTGGTAACTTATGGGTTGTTGGTATAATCTCTGTTAATCTGTTGTTGAAGTGAGAATTTAGGTTTTGGTTATTGATTCTGTATGCAAGGTTCTTTCATTTCTTCATTATTTGGTGTTTTAATCTGCAATTGGTGAATGTTGGTGATTTTTAGTTGATGTTTTCTACCTGATAAGGTTACATGCACTCAGAAATTTTTGTATACTGCAATGGCCTCTTCATGTTAGGTTTTGTTTTACGCAACCTCTACAATGCCGGCTTATTACTAATTTCGAAGTACTCGATTTATTACATACGAGAGGGGCTGCCAAGGATCCTACCCGGGCCATGGGCTTGTTAAAATCGTCTGAATTCAAGGATGATACTGAATGTGCCTAGAAAGTAATTTCGAAGTGAGATCTCATCTGATTGATCTTAACATTGCCAATGTCTAGTACTGTTGGCCTTGTGATACCCTGCAAAGGTATGAATCTCAGCCTCGTCGTGTTAACTACAAAATTTCATCTCCACTTTGTTGATTTATTATTGGTTTGTTGTATAGCTGCTGTAGCATGGGAGGCCGGGAAAAGCCGTTGGTGATAGAGCAAGTAGAGGTTGCTCCACCACAGACCTTGGAAGTCAGAGTTAAGATCAAGTACACTACACATTGCCGTACTGACTTTTACTTTTGGGAAGCTAAGGTATATCTTATTCGCCTACCATTCTATTTTCATTCCATACTAGTTTGTATCCCTTGAGGTTTCTGAACTATGTTTTTAAAGAGCTGAAAACTCCAAATATTCTCTATATTCTGCTGGGCAGTACTGCTACACAATTGTTTCCTCGCATTTTTGGCCATAAAACAGCTGGGTATGTGCATATATTCTCAACTAGAGTTGATAAAAGCAGAGCTAGAGCTAATGATATCCTATCTTGGTTTACCAACTCATATATTTTTGCTGTTTCGTGATATTAACTGTGGTTTATAACTAGAACTCCTTAATCTACAAATGCAAGTTTTTTCATGATCTTATTTGAGCCAAGCTATACAGTGATTAGCCTAGCTCATTTAAATCTCAAGTCAAGTTCACTTACTTTCCAGCTATAATGAGTGAAAAGATATGCAGAGTATCTAGTTGATAAGCTTCTATTTAAACTTTGACATAATTGTTGAAAGCATAGGATCCCATAACAATAATTTCTCGATCTTTTCGAATTTAACTTGGAGAAATTACTGAATGTGCCTAGAACAATAATTTCACAAATAGGTTTGAGGTTTCCCTTGAGGATTTCTTGTCACCTGTTTACCTTAGATTATTGTTATTTTCTGGTCCATCAATAACTAACCCTTGTCCCCAGGGGGTTCTTGATTGTCATGCTCTTAATTTTTATTTAGGGGGTGTCAGGGGATATGTATTGGATATGAGCTACTTCTCTTCTTAAGTAGTCTTTATAAGTCCAATACAATCCATTTTTATTTTTTTATAAATATTTCATGATTATCGAAGTAACTTATCTTATCGTTTGGCCTACAGCTTGGAGTAGACACTGTCCCAATTCTTGTTGGACCAGTCTCCTACTTGTTGTTGTCCAAGCCTGCTAAGGGTGACTTAACTTGTATCTCAAACATATAAATTTATGTTGCCTAATAAAGACGTTTGACTAACTTAGTTGTTCTTTGCTTGTAGACAAGCTTGTGGTCTCCACTTCCTGCTCACTTCTTCACACTACTGTTGATCTTGTTAACGAGACTTAAAGCTTGATGATGAAATCAACCCATTTGTGTCTCCCCAAAACCAAAACCAGTGATGAGTACCTTTCACGTTGAATCATAATCGAATGAGGTGAAAGTGTGAAAAGTCTAGCGTTGCGGATAGTTTTAATTTCTTTTCTCTTCTCCCTGTTTTTGAAAACTTATTTTAAGAAAACAGCCAATCCAGTTTGGTTGGTCCATGATATGGGTCCAATTGTAGTGTAGTTGGATGGGGCTTGACAAGAGCTTTCCAACGATATATTATAAGCCCAATTCCGATGAATATTGAGAAAGTTATGACCAATTTACTAAACTGGGCCTGGTTTGAACCTTATATGCGGCCCAATGATCTAAAGGAGGACCTAATATGATTTATCATTCCTAATGAAATTAGAAATGGTTTTAGTCTTCTAGATTCTTCTAGAAGGTTCTTTTCATTCCTAATTCAATTAGCATTGATAAATTGACTTTCGTTGAGTTTTCAGAGTTTTAATTAAAATCAAAGAGCATTTTTGAGGAAAATATACGATTTTATCCTCCTGTACGGCAAAATATATATGATTTTAGAAAAACGCATCAAAAACAGGTTTGGCGCCCAACGCCAGCCATTGGCGCCTGGAACCAAGCCTGGCGCTAAGGCTGGCGCCTGGCGCCAATTAGCTGGTGCTGGCGCCAGCTCTGTTTTTCGTGCGCCAATACTCTGCTTCGTTAATTTTATCTTTTTGGCTGATTTTCTCTATAAATAACGACGTAAAAACTCCGTTTTCATTCACCTACAACCAGTTTTCATTCGCAGACATTAATTCTCTCATTCTCTCTTAATCATTCATCATTCATTCTTTGTCTTTCTCTTTTCTAAACTAGCTTTTGCAAACAAAATTCCTCATTCACAAGATTAGAAACACCTATCCATATTCGAAGTTGCCTTCGCCCTAGACGTGAAAGGTTTAATTTCTGAGGGTTTGGTCCCAAATCTCTATTTCAATTATTTAATTTAATTATTTGTTTATTATTTTCCTTGAAGTTACTAACGTGTGTATTTTGTTATTAGAAAGAGATACGAGGCATCAAAGTAAGTGCTTTAATGGTTTTAATTGATATTATGATGTAGAAATCATGTTTAAATTGTTATTATGATATTCCTAGTATCATGTTTAGGGAAAAGTTATAATATCAAATATGCTTATTATGATTCCTGCGACGCTTCATATGTTCTTCCTAATATTTATGATTGTTAGTATCATGTTAGGGTTAGAGATTTGATTTTTATTGCTTAGTAACCTGCTAGGGTTGGTTATTAATCTTGTTAGTATCATGCCTAGGATCTTGCTATTATTATGCTTTAATATTAACATGAACATGATTATCATCATAATTGTTATAATTCATGATGATTATGAATATTATTATTATTATTATTATTTTGATGATGATTATTTTATTTATGACGATTATTATTATGATTATTATTATCTTTATTATGATTATAATTTTATTGTCATGATTTTATTATTATTATTATGATTATTATAATGATCGATTATTATTATGTTTCTTGATGCTTATTTTTTTTTATTGCTTGATCACACCTTTTATGCATGTTTAAAGGGAATTTATACTTGTAATCACGCTTAATAAGATAATTAATAATCTTGTTAGGGTTAATTTGATTATAATTCAAGTGATCGCCAATAATAGGTTTATTTGTGCATTAATATTCAACCAACATAGATAAACAGGTTTAGGGTTAATCCTAATGATTGCATGTTAGTCAGAAAGCGCACATGAATACGATCAGAATAAAGTAGAGGCCTATTATTAGGGCAAGTTCAATCTCTTTTAGGTTGGATTTGTAACTTCATCCCCAAACCCTTATTTGGTTCTAGACCTTATGGAGTTGACGATCTCTTGGATCGTTAAGGGGTGTAACCTTCACCCTGTGAACGATTTACAAGTTCCTAAAACTTGTTGGCGACTCTTTTGCTCTATCTTCTTCCCTTTTGGACGCCACCGTACTTTAGTGTATGATCACAGTGGGGTTCAAGCTAGGGGTTAACGCTTGAAATTTATTCCCTATAGTTTTTGGCGACTCCACTGGGGAGGATTTCTTTTTTAATTCTTGAATTTGTTTCGGCAATGATTTAGAATGAGTTGACGAGACTCGAAACGTTCTAAGTATTTCATGTGCGTAATTTTGATTAACATTATTGTCATATGCATAAAAAAGATCTCATTGGAAAGACCATCCGTAATGAGTTAAAAACATAGGATTTTACACGTAGGAAATTTGAGAAATATCTTTCACAACTGGGACCGAAATAACACCGCGCGAAACTGGAAAATTTTATCGAGCACAGAAAGCTGCTGAGGCATGTGGGAAGTAGCGCCAATGACCAGAGCATTGGCACAAGCATTTTAACCGTAGCGCCAGACGCCAGTATTGGCGCCAGGCGCTACAGTTAAAAGCTGGCGCCAGTCTCTGATTGCTGGCGCCAATTTCCCCCAATACCGAGCCAGAAATATGCGTTCTAATTTCGACCGGTCTTTCGTATTGTTTGCTCGATCCTACTTCCTGATTGAATTTTTTCTCACCTTTCCGAAACCCATATGTGTTCTACATATGGACATAACCCTCTGGGAATTCATGCTCCATCTACCTGATTGAACGCTCCATGCAACAAAGGATACATCTGAGATTGTTGAATTCACCAAACCATGGAAGCGAGTTTTTTCTAAAACTCGCGGTGTCCCATCCACTCGCGCCAACCCTTCACGGTAAGGCTTCCGCGCGGTGCATCCGGACAATTAACCATGGACCCTCTATTGACTAAACCATATCCCGAACTTTAGAGAACTAGAGCCATGGTTAGGTTGCAAACTCATTGCATCATATTGTGCCTACTTGACTAATTGTGCATTATTTGTTGTGCATACTCTATGTGATTTTTCCTAATCGTTTGTTTGACTTGTGTTAAGACTAAATAAACTGATTAATGACTAAAGGAATTTGTTTAATTAATTAATTAATTAATTAATTTGAGCTAATAAATAAACATAAAATCGAGTCATAGTTCCTTTAAGTCAACTCGGATTTTTATTCCCGTATACTGCACAAGCGTCAACTTGTTTTTGTCATAGCCGGAGTTCTAGGAAGTACTACGAGTCGTCCAGCCTATGGATCTGAAGCCCCGTGTTTTATCTTTAATTTGGAGTTTGTTTCATCCAAATCAGAGTCACAGATAAAAAGTTATGACTAAAATACCACAGTCGGTCCAGTTTAATGCATATACGTGAAGTCTTAACTTAGTCTTTGTGTGAGTCTAGTCACATAGTCTAGCCACATGGTCATGACACGAGTCTTAACATGTCACCTACACTCACTAGTCTTAGTACACACTTTGAGTACACATCACCATGACCATATCTTAGGTCCATGCATGAGTCGGTCTTTTTCGTCATTTGAGTTGGGGGTACACTCTATTCCTAATTCTCCATATCCCTCCATCTACATCTAAATATTCTTCACGTTCTATTCTAATCTTTCTTCATTTCCTCCATCCATTGCATGTTGAATAAAGTTTGAGTCAAATAATTAACAATGAATATCCCCAAATTCCTTTTCCACAGTACTTGGTCGAGGAGAGAAGGGCGATTAATCAAGGACAACCTCTTTATTCAAGTCTCACTTTTTGATAAACCGATTCGTCAAAAGAGGAAGGCTAAGAAGATAATGGCAACTCAAGAGGAAGTCAATGAGATTATGAACCAATTGGTTACCGTGACTAAGGCATTGAAGGCTTTAACCCTCAAAATCAATGACCCTATGAAGCAACAACAAATGGAGCTCATGCAAGAGAGCTTGAGCAAGCTATCTAGTGATTACAAGTTTCAAGGTATTAGTTCACCAGGGGTCTTGGTGGAAAAATAACTTCTTCCGCATAAGTTCAATGCCAACGACATCCTAAAATTCAAGGCAACATATAATCCTTATCTTCACTTAAGAGCCTTTGAAACTATGATGAACATTAAGGGGATTGATAAGAAAGTCTTTCATTCCTTGTTTTCCTTATCTCTTGAAACCGTTTGTCAACAATGGTTCTTCTCTCTAGACAAAGAGAAAACCTTTACCTGGGAATCGATGGTAAACGCTTTCATTGATAGGTATAAATGCAATATCCAAATCGAAACTGATTATAGACAACTTGAAATGCTAAGACAAAAAGAGAATGAAGGCTTTACTTTTTTCTTCAATAAGTGGAGGGAAACTTCCGCTAAGATGATTGAGGTCCCCACCGAAAAAGAGTCTGTGAGGATGTTTATCAAGAATCTCCAAGAAAAGTATTCAAAGCACTTAAAATATCAGCACAACTTGAATACTTTCAGAGCCGTCTATGAAATAGGTATCGAGATCGAAGACGACCTCGCAAAGCAAAAAGCTACTAACAATAGTAACCACGGTGGCTGGAAAGGAAAGAAGAACGACAATCCTTCTTCTTCCGAAAACGCCCACTCTAGTAACAATGTTAGTACCTTTGATCTCAGTGAATTTTTAGCCATGGATAACCAAGGATCTAAGAAGCAACTAAGGACTGACTTCACCCCCATTGGGATGAGCTACGATACTGCCTTCGATTGACTCCATGCCAAGGGACTCATTACTCCCATTGGACCTATTCAAGATCCCGCACCTGAAAAGAGATTGCCTAGTTGGAATCCAGACGAACACTGCAAGTACCATCAAGGTAGGGGTCATACTACTGAGAGCTGTTGGAAGCTAAAGGAGGCTATCCAACATTTGATTGATAATAACAAGCTTCCCATGCCTCCAGTTAACAAGAAGAGCGAGTGATGATAAAGGAAACAACACAAGACAAGAGGAGAGCTTCAACGACAAGATTTCGCAACCTCTTTTTTCTATTTCTTTTTTGTTTACCCTTTTCCCTAATAATTCTAGCATAGGCACCTTTTTATTCTCCTTAGATTTATTTTGTAGGATCATTATATATTTTCTTTTTTTGATAAAATGAGCATTTATTTCCTTATATATGATCATTTCATTATATTGCATTAAAAAAAAATCCATGT